GGGCCCACAGCTCCTGCGGGGAAAACGCAGGGTCAGGGGGGGCAGGTGGCTGGGCCGCGGGTGGGTGGCTAAGTAGTTGGGTGAATGGACAGACGGACGGAGGGACAGACGAGACGGCCAGCAGGAAGATGTGCAGGGAGCGCGGGGTCCTGGCGGGGCCCCTGCGGCGGCAGGGCCGGGCTGCATCAGGTCAACCGCCAAGGGCGCCCTCTGCTGCCCACAGCCTCTGCCCACCCAGCCTGGCTCTTCACCCCCACAGCCCGCCCCGGGGTGGGCTCATAACTGGGAGGCGAGGCCCGGGACAGGCACTCTGGGTCCAACCCGGATGGGTCCCCATGCTGAGCTGGTGGGGGAGCGGCACACCAGCACCAGCCGCCATCCAACAGCAGCACCCGCTACAGGGGCATCGCTGGTCAGTCTACTCCTGGAACTAGGTCTTGCACTGAACAAGCCCATGATGCGGGAGGCGGATCCCTGCCTCTTCCAGGGAGCAGCAACGAGGGTGGGGAAGGGGCCAGCCGCTCACCGAAGGGCATCACCCCATTATCTTCCTTTCCAACACCGATCCCGGCACCCGCGGTCACATCCTGAGGTGGTCGCATTACTGAGGATCGTTCTGGGGAGGCGACAGGTCCCTGGAATGAGAGCACATCCCAGGCTGAGCAGGCCACCTCTTGACCTTACTCCCCACCTCCCGGCATGTGCTCCACGGGGGAGGCCCCGACAAGGGACTGAGGCTCCAGTCACATAGCCCTGCCAGCCTGGGGACTGTGACCCAGAGAACTGGAGCCCCTGATGCTGCCCTAGCCGACCGCACGGGCCTCGAAACCTGGTGTGACCCAGGGCTCCCGAGTCTGGGGGTTTGCTGCCGTGCCAGGACTGATTCGTACACCTGCTCTGCATTGCACTTTATCTTCCCGCTGCCCTTGGGATTAACCGCAGGACAGCAGGTCAGCTGCACGTAACTCAGAAGAGTAAAGTTTAGAAACAGAACTCGGGGCCCACGGAGGGTGGCCGAGGCACCAGCCAGGAAGACCGGACGGAGGTTCAGGAAGCGCTCCAGGCCAGCCATCCCGGGTCTCTTCTGTCTTCATCGGCCTCGGCCGCAGGTCTGGGAAGGGATGGTCGGAATCCTCCGGGCACGGCTTCTCACGGTTCACTTCTCCGAAAGCTTCTGCTGTCAGCCAGGCCGCACCCACCTCTGGGCCCCACCTGCTTGGAGGCCCTGCCCTTGGCCTCCAGATCAGCCCTCTCCCGTTTCCCAGTGATGGAACTTCCTTGCATACCTGAGCCCACCCCGCCTGGTGCCACAAACCAGTGCCTCGACCTTGGCTGGGTTCACGTAGCTAATATCCTACTTGGAAGTTTTGTTTCCCTGGAGACAGACCTACAGCTGGATTTTCTTGACTTGTCCTGTTATGGCTCAGCTGGTTTTGCAGAGGAGGGGTTTGGCAGTCATGCAGAATGAGCTGGGTGCTGCCACACTTCGTCCTCCAGAAGAGTCGGTGATGCTAAGCCCCATTCATTCCTGGAGATCGGGCAGCACTTACACATAATCCTGCGGGGCCTGGGGCCATTTTCAAAAAGTCTGTCTCCGATTTGATTTTCCCCTCTGGTGTCTGTGGCTTCTCCATGAGCACTTTGCTGACTTCTATTTCCCCAAAACCAGTCCCTGTCCTCCAGGCCCAGAGTGGTACACAGGCTGCCCACATCTCTGCTGTGCCCAGGCTGTGCCTGTTCCAAACTAGGCAGCTGTGTGTTCCCAAGCTACTCCCATAGCCCTGGCTAGAGCCCCAGGACCCTCTCCAGGCCTGACCCGGGTGCCCCGTACTGCGGGTCCTCTCTCCAGCTCCCTGGCCACCCAGCAGCCTTCCTTCGGGTCTCACAAGCTAGGATACCCCCCCTCCCTGCTGTGCTGACAGCCAATTCCTAGACTGCAGCAGGTCATCCAATGCCTCTGGGAAGACTGGCTTCCTTCTCAACAGGAGCAGGGAAGCGGACCATGCCCCATGGCCTGGCCTTCCGGTGTCCAGCCTTGATCCCTGCATGCACTGTGAGGCAGGGTGAGTGAGGTGTGTTCACTCGCTCTCTGAGCATCCACTTGGGGCCAGGGCTGACCTGGGACCGGGGAACACATCAGCGACCAAGACAGACAGAGCTCCCATCTGAGAAAGGCTGAGGCCACAGTGCAGCCGGGGGACACATGTAAGCAGGCTGGCCTCGCTGGTAAGCAACCCGACTGCAGACCCCAGGGCCTGACCAGAGCCCTCAGAACCAGGGACCCTGGGAGTCCCACCCCTCAGATTCCCTGGATCAACAGGACCCCCACTCCATTTCTCAAACGGAAGAGGTTTTTACTCTGCTAGACACGTCCACAAGTGCAGTAGTGATGACCACCCTCCTTTGCTGCATCACCTAAAAGGGGATTTTAATGCCAAAGTATCAGATGGAACTCAAATAACGGGGGCTGGGCCACCAAGGTGACGCCTGCAAACTGGTCCGGTCTGAGCATTCGCCGTCCATTCATTCTCCTCATAAGGCGGGGACTCAACTGCTGCCTCTGCTGTTAGAAGACAATGAGGCAGGATAGCTCCGGGCCTGTGCTTCTGTCACCTGTGGACCTGACCCCAGCAGCCATGGGCATGAGGTGTTACAAAGTGTGAGTCTAACCTGCCAGAGGACTTGTACCCAGAACATATGAATGATGACCAAATCTCACCAGCAACAAAGAAACAGCCCACCTAGAAAATGGACACAAGAGCTGGGTGTGGTGGTACACACCTGCAGTCGCAACGTTCCGGGAGGCTGAGGCAGGAAGATTGCAAGATCCTGCCCAGCATGCCTAGGCTACTAAGACTTCACAAGACCCTGTCTCCAAATAATAAATAAAAAGAGCTGGGGATGCAGCTCAGCACAAAGGCCCTGGGTTCAATCTGCAGTGTCACAAAGACAAAACAAAACAAAACAAAAAGGCCCAAGGCTCTGCTGGGGGCTGAATGCCCGGTCTCCGCTTCCTTGCTGAAGTCCTGCTCCCCAGGTGATGGTACCAGGAGTAGCTTTGAGGAGGGGTCTGGTGCCCACATAAGAGGCTGAGAGCCGCCTCCTCCCTCACCGCACCAGGCTGTAGACAGCCAGACCCTCCCTGGACACCTCATCCGCTCTGGCCTCAGACCTGTGGCCTCCAGGACTGTGAGGAGCACATGGCTGCTATTCCCAGCCCTGCCTAGGACGCAGTCACGGCAGCGGCCCCAAGACCAGCGGAGCATCCCAGATGCCTCCCACACATTCCTGTGAGCCGGGCGCACCCAGAGCACAGAACACCACTGCACAGGAAGGGCCAGCCACCGACGGGACTCTGGACGTGCCGTGTGAAGGGAGTGGCTGTGCCACAAGACCCCACACACGGGACAGTCCCCAGGGCAAAGCGAGGACCACCAGCATCTGTGCTGTGATAGAAACACCAAGAGCTGCACCTCAGAAAAAGAGTTTAGATGTCACTGCAGCCACTGCCCCAGCCACGCGTTTCCTGGAAGTTCCCAGCTTCACTGCGGCGCCCACCTCTTCGCAGGCGTCCTTGCTCCCTCACCATGGGCTCATCTGAGGACAGCAGACAGGCGGGACCCACCACATAGTGCCTGGACGCACCACCTCGGCAGCTCCCTTCCAGCTGTGTCCCCAGCCACAGCGCAGTGGCCCAGGCCACACTGCCCGGGGCTCCAAGCCCAGACCTAGTCTTAGGAAAGGGGTCAGGAAGAGGCACCCAGCCCATGGCGATGTCCCCTGCAGTCAGCACTGCTGCAGCCCCCCGTCCTGTGCCCCCTCACCTCTGGGAACATGGTCCCAAAGGTGTCCTCATCCTCAACCCAGGCCTTGTGCATCTGTGGCCCCACTTCACAGATGTGAGTCAGGGCAGCCGTCCTGGATTATCTGGCTGAGCCCCGGGGCCTCACAGACGTGCTTACGGGTGACAGAGGACACAGGCGGCCGAGGGGAGGGGAGGGGTGACGACAACACAGAGGCAGAGGAGAGAGAAAGGAACCCAAGGGATGGTGCCCAGGTCTCAGGCCTGCGCCCTCCTCCCATAGCTGTGTGTGTGGAACCTTTTACAGTGGCTGTGGGACACACACACCTCCACAGGACACAGAGGCCTCCAGAGATGGTGAGGAGGAAGGAGAGGGCCCTGCATAGCTCTCGGGGAAGCAGTGTGGCCCAAGGCACGGATAGCCTGCTTTTAGGGCCCAGGCCAGAGAAAGGGGACAGATGGGGCACACAGTGGGGATACAGGGCTCTCAGACAATGGCTGTTTCCATGGGGAAAGAGAAAGAGGTCATCCAGCTGCCTGGGGCCAAGGGGCTCTGCTCACTTGAAGCAGCAGTGCAGTGGACGCTGGCCACACTTCCCACCACTGCCCACATCCCCAGCGTCCCCTGCCTCATGCTGGCCTCCACCCCTGGAGTGGCCTCAGCCTGAGTGCCCCCCCAGTCCAGGGAACTTGGCAACCACACCCCGTGCCAGAACGTGTGGGTCTAGCGCTGCGGGCGACACAGCGGCACCCCCTGCTCCCCTTCTGGCCCGTGGCCCCCAGAGACTGGGGTGACACTCGGCTCTGGATCACAGGTCGCCTGCAGTCAGGGCTCTGGCTGCATGGTGTAGATCAGCCAGGTCTCCTGAAGGGGGCGCTCTCCCCAGCATGGGTCCCAGGGACCCAGAAGGATGGAAGCTGGCTGCGTCCCAATGGATGCCTTCCCGCCAGCAGCCCAGAGACACCACTGGCCGCACCCGGGGCCCTCGGGGGCCACGCTGGCTCAGGCAGCCGGTCCACGCCCACAGGGGAGTCACTGCAAGCCTCACCCCTGCGCCTGCCCTCCCCTGTCCCCACCCCTGACTCCTGCTTCCAGTCGCACCCCAGCTCACCCAGAGCTCCTCCAGCAGGGC